GTATATTGACTTGCGTCGTAGCCTACGATTCAGTAGGTGTTATCATCGTACAGTCTACATACATCAAACTTGATGTCGTACCTAAGTTTATTAGATCCATGTCGCACAGTGTGGCTTGCAATGAACTTATGAGATTGCTGAAATCTCACATTCTGTAGGTGCCATAAAACAAAAAGTTGCCAGTCTAAAAGTAACACAGAACACATAATAAGGTCAATAGCAATAAACATTTGAAGTAAAAACAAGGACACAAGGTGGAAATAGGCAATTTTACTTATATTGATGATGTGAGCTTAAAATGATAATGTGGGGTCAAAATAACTAGGTTTGTCACAATAGGTGCGTTTACATGGAGCCTAATATTCCGTTAATAATCAGATTCAAGATCAATCAGAATGAAAATGCCTCGTGTGAACACCTTGATCGGAATGAAATACCCCAATCCGTTCGAGAATTCAGATTTAAAGAGGTGGTGTAGATTTCTGATAATCCATTCGATAGGAAAATATTAGCCATGTAGACGCTCAATTGGATTGCCTTCTGCACTTGGAACTTTTTTGTCATGTTCATTACAGGAAGTAATGACATATTGACGTTTTACTATGCATGACAGAGTTAAAAAAAACATGGCGGCCAGTGTGAAAAATTGGTTGATGAAGGAGACCACGCTTATGTTAAACATTCTCAAAGAATTAGGAATAGTCGAGCGACTAGATGGGCGCAAATCCCCCAACAACGGGCTGTTTAAGCAAGTTTGGGAGAAGCTTAATGCGGGGGTAAACGGGTCTATTGACCAAATTAAGAACCGCTGGAAGAGGCTGAAGAGTGGGTATTATAAGGCAAAATCTGACCAAAACAAAAGTGGTGCAGCCCCTACCAACTTTCCATTTTTTGGCATAATGGAGGAAATTACGGGACAACGGCCGCTGGTTACTGCAGCCCAACACGGTGTTGATGTTGGGCTCAGCTCGTCTCGCAGAGTTCTGTCTCTGAGGAAAACATCTCAAGTCACTTCTCCCTCCCACCTCACACATAGTACTCGTACATTTGGATTATGGTTGTAGACTAGATTTTTGTGTTCAGTTTGCCGGCTACTTTTCAGGTTAAAGTCGGAGGTTGCTGTTTCTATTCAGTATCCAATAAAGCAACCTGAAGTAGTAGGTATAGTGTAGCCACCAGTCCACTCTATCTATCTCTATCAACTCTATCTTTCTGACCTCTGACTCTATCAACTATCTGATCGCTTTCATGTAAACAGTATGTTAGAAATCATCAATCAGAATGGTCAACCTGAGATTTGTGGCCACTCATTGAGACAAAGTGCTATCTGCTGGAGAGGCCAATCTATACCAAGCCAGTACTGGGCAAGAGATACCAATGACTGTTTCAAGGCATGACAGGAGAATACTGTGGCTGCACTTACAGTCATGTGAAAAAGAAAGTACACCCTCTTTCAAGTCTAGGTTTTAAGTGTCAGGACATAATAAAAAAATCATCTGATCCTTACCAGGTCTTAAAATTAGGCAAATACAACCTCAGATGACCAATAATACATGACATATTCACCCTGTCATTATTTATTTAACACAAAGTAAGCCAAAAATACAGTAGCGGTGTGTGAAAAATTAAGTTCACCCTTACTGCTTCCATAGAAATTATGAAGGCAATTAGCAGCCAGGTGTTGCTGATCAAATGAATTTGAGTAATTGATCATCAGCAAGTGTGACCACCTCTTAAAAAGCAGAAGTTTTGGCAGTTTGCTGGTCTGGAGCACTCAGGTGTATGTTAACACAATGCCAAGGAAGAAAGACATCAGCAATGATCTTAGAGAGGCAATTGTTGCTGCACATCAGTCTGGGAAGGGTTATAAGGCCATTTCCAAACAATTTGAAATCCATCATTCTACTGTGAGAAAGATTATTCAGAAGTGGAAAACATTCACGACAGTTGCCAATCTTCCCAGGAGTGGACGTCCCAGCAAATTTACTCCAAGGTCAGACCGTGCAATGCTCAGAGAAATTGCAAAAAACCCAAGAACTACATCTAGGACTCTACAGGCCACAGTTAGCATGTTAAATGTTAAAGTTCATGACAGTAAAATTAGAAAAAGACTGCGCAAGTATGGCTTGTTTGGAAGGGTTGCCAGAAGAACGCCTCTTCTCTCTAAAAAGAACATGGCAGCACAGCTTAGGTTTGCAAAGATGCATCTGAACAAGCCACAAGCCTTCTGGAACAATGTCCTTTGGACAGATGAGACCAAATTGGAAATGTTTGGCCATAATGCACAGCACCATGTTTGGTGAAAACCAAACACAGGATATCAGCACAAACACCTCATACCAACCATCAAACACGGTGGTGGAGGGGTGATGATTTGGGCTTGTTTTGCAGCCACAGGGCCTGGGCACCTTGCAGTCATTGAGTCAACCATGACCACCTCTGTATACCAAAGTATTCTAGAGGCAAATGTGAGGCCATCTGTCCAACAGCTAAAGTGGCCGCAATTGGGTCATGCAACAGGATAATGATCCCAAGCACACCAGCAAATCTACAGCAGAATGGCTGAAAAAGAAAAGAATCAAGGTGTTGGAATGGCCAAGTCAAAGTCCAGACCTCAACCCAATTGAAATGCTGTGGCAGGACCTTAAGAGAGCTGTGCATAAACAAATGCCCTCAAACATGAATGAACTGAAGCAATGTTGTAAAGAAGAGTGGGCCAAAATTCCTCCACAACAATGTGAGAGACTGATAAAATCATACAGAAAACGATTGCTTCAAGTTATTGCTGCAAAAGGTGGTTTCAAACTATTGAATCATGGGGTGTACTTACTTTTTCACACATGGATTCTGCATTTTCACTTAATTTTTGTCAAATAAATAATGACACGGTGGAATCTGTTGTGTGTTGCTTTACACCTGAGGTTAGATTTGCATAATTTTAGGACCTGATAAGGATCAGATGATTTTTTGTTATGTCTTGATTGGCAAAACCATGTAACTGGAAGAGGGTGTACTTTCTTTTTCACATGACTGTAAGTCAAACAGTAGAAAAAGGTTAAAGACACTGGTTGTGGACAAAAGCAGGTCATTTGCCATGCTTATAAGTGCAGTTTCTATACTGTGTTTAGCTCAGAAGACATGAAAATGAACAGTTGAAATGGTTATAGTAACTCATGAGAGGCCATGTGAGTCTGGAGCTGTGATCTGACCACCCGTTTTAAGATTTTAGCAAGAAAGGGGATGTTAGGGATGACAATTATGAAGTGAGCTGGCGTCTAGTCTTGGTTTCTTAAGAATGATGGTGACAGCAGAAGGATAATGCCAGAGACCTATTGATAATATTAGAAGTTGGAATAGAGAGTAGGGATATATGTTCCAATTAGCGATGATGAAGAAGGGTCAAGTAGACAAAAAAAAAGATTTACTGATGAGCTTGCTTATATAGATGGGGTCAGTGGAGATAAAGCAGGCCAGCCTCTAGTCAGAGTTAATAGTAGCAAACTTGGGGGGAGAGCTGTTGGGCATACATTTACATTTACATTTATTCAGTTGGCAGACGCTTTTATCCATAGCGACTTACAGGTGAGGTATAATACAACACAAGCAAAAAAACCATAGAGTCAACAATACTAGAAGTACTGCATGACAAAGTTCCAAAGGTTGGCCAGGTGAGGTACCAACTAGCAGGTAAAGCTAGCGAGTGCGTTAAACTATTGCAGCCAAACCATTACATCATTACATTTTTTTTTAAATATAGTTCAGTAGGAGATGGGGGAAAGTGTTTCAGGTGCTCAGGTGAGAGCTGAAGAGCTGTGTCTTCAGATGTTTCTTGAAGACAGAGAGGGACTCAGCAGAATGGATGAGGTGTGGATGTTCATTCCACCACCGGGAGACAATGGTGGAGAAAGTCCTGGATAGTGATTTAACGCCACGATGCAACGGGACCACCAGGCGCCGTTCGGTGGCAGAGCGTAGCAGTCGGGAGGGAACATAGGGTGCAGCAGTGAGTTCAGGTTGGTAGTTGCAGTTTTGTTGGTCACCCTGTATGCGAGCATCAAGGCCTTGAACATGATGCGGGCAGCTACAGGGAGGCAATGGAGTGAGACCAAGAGAGGTGTAACATGAGCCCTTTTTGGTTGGTTGAAAACCAGACGTGCAGCTGTGTTCTGTATCAACTGCAGAGGTTTAATAGTGCATGCAGGTAGGCCGGCCAAAAGAGCATTGCAGTAGTCCAGTCTTGAGATGACCAGTACCTGGACAAGGAGCTGCGCAGCATGGTCGGATAGGTAGGGCCTGATTTTCCTGATGTTGTACAGCGCAAATCTGCATAATCTGGCAGTCGTAGCAATGTGGTTGGTAAATTTTAGCTGGTCATCAATCACTACCCCCAGGTTCCTTGCAGACCTGGATGCAGTCAGTGTCATTGAGCCGAGCTGAACGCTGATGACACGCTGGATCGACGGGCTGGCTGGGATGACTAGGAGCTCAGTCTTGGATATGTTGGATATGTTGAGTTGGCATACACATCAGAGAGGGGTCTTGAGTAATTTTGTCAATTATTTTTCCTTGAAAAAAAAATGAAGGAATAAATTGCACTGATGAACAGTACTAGAGGAACCATCATTCACAGTTAGTTTTAGGGACTTGTCAATGGTGGCAAACATGGTTTTAGGTTTTCTGCTACTTTTTGTAATCATGCAAGTAAGAGGGCCAGGCAGGGCTTCCCTGCAATTGGAGATGTGGTTCTTACAGGCCAAAGAGTGGACTGGGAGCCCACTTCTCTTATAAAGCCACTCAAGGCAATGCCCTGTTGTTGTCATTGCATTGAGAACAGGGGTGTATCATGGAGAGGAGTGAGATAGAGGAATTTCTAGGGACACATTCATTAAGTGTAACAAAAAGAGCCTTGTCATACTAGGACACAAACTCATTATGGGAGGAAACCACAACATGCAACGGACAGAATTAATAAATTTAACATTGTGAAAGTTAATGGTGGTGGCAGTGTAGCATAGTGGTTAAGGAGCTGGGCTTGTAACTGAAAGGTTGCCGGTTCAATTCCTAGCTGGGGCACTGCTGCTGTACTCTCGTGCAAGGTACTTCATCCACAGTTCACCCTCAGTAAATGTCCAGCTGTATAAATGGATAACGTTGTTAAAAAAACTGTAACCGATGTAAGTCGCTCCGGATAACAGCATCTGATAAATGCCAATAATGTAATGTATGTACTGTTGTGCTTACTACGTGGTTAGGGAAATAAGAAAGTTTAGGAGAGATAGGCGGACCAGTGATCTTACAGTCTGAGATAGTAAGGTTAAACCCACAGACATTAACAACATCAAGACCATTGCAACAGAACAGTTCAAGTATGTGATCATGACAATCAATGGTGATACTGACAAGTCCTTGAGAAAAGAAGTCAAACATGAAATGTAAATTCAGCAACAAATGAACAGGTGTAAGAATAATATTAAAATCATTAATTAGTACAGCACCTGGGGATATGGAACAGTCAAAAGTAAGAAACTCATTGAGTTATGAAAATGTTTAGACTGCTTTGGGGGGATCAATAGATCACAAAAATAAAAGGCTGGGGGCATTGTTTTGTCACAATTATACTAGTATAAAAACAGTTGAGTAATTTCAGCGCTCCTTTTTGTGCCGGTGTCAGATAAAGAGCTGTGTTTTTGCATCCACTCTGTATACAGGAGTCTCTTTCTTGGCAGTGCATGGAGGTGCCTCCTGTTGTTTTCTGCTGGTTTCTCTACCCGTGAGAGCTGTTGATGAATCACCTCTGAGAGGGAGGTCGGGGAGACATGTCAGCTCCACTTTGCTTCAGCATGGACCTGCTGAAAAAACTACTCACAAGTCTCAAACCATGTTTCTTAGAGCAGGAAAAGCTCCATGATAACAGCAGATTGGCTTGGAAGGATACCTTTTGTGCTTTTTTTGTACAGCGGACACTGTCATTTCTGATTGCATCCTGAAGTTGTGTTATTATGCAATGCAACTTGGAATTGGTGGTATGAAAAGGGGAAAAGTGATGCCCTGGTTCTGTGGAAAATGGGAACTTCTGCTTGTCCTCAACTTACCTTCATTAACTCTGAAATGGTTTCCATTGGAAAGCACCATTAGGATCCTGTGTATTGGGCAGTTTAGATAACTGGTGTCTCAGCTGTCAGCCTCCTGGAGAGTCAGGGTGGTGGAGGTGGGTGTTCAAATCCCAGCAAGTTTGGCTGTCTCTGGCTGTTGGCTGTGGGGAGAGGTCCTCCAGTTACGGACACACACGTTCGCTCCGACTTGTGGAGCGGCAATTGGCCTCTGAGTTGGTTTGCCTATTAGCATGTGGAGTTATACCAGGTAAGCAAGAGGTATGAGCTCAGTGCTGTGGGATGGTTTAGATTGGGAGGGGGTTGGGAGGGTTCAAGGGAAGACACAGCTGTGGCCCTCTCAGCATGCACAGCTGCTTTAATTGCCTGTCACTCTCGGTAAGTCGATGTGACAGACCTTGAAATTGTGCACGGTGCCGCGCACATGAAATCCTCTATCTTCCTCCACGATGGCGCTCGGCAGACCCCATCTAGTGCACTTTATCTCCAACAATCAAAACAAGTCTTTTCACACCAAGGTAAATTCAACATACTGTGTAAAATGTACCCAAGCTTAAGAAAACACTCAAGGTAAAAAAAAAAATAATAAGGTATGACAAAAGACAGCTTCAGCTCCTCAGCAACTCTATTTTAAAATACAAAAACCTTTTATTTATCACACAGAACCACAATATATGCTACATCATATCAGAATTCCGTCTATGTCAGATTTCAGGTTTGTCACAGCAGCCACTATACAATTGCAGCATCTATTTTCTGAGTGAGCCTGCATTATGGGTATGGAAATTACCAACTTCCACTGATCTAAAGTCAGTTATGCACTCAACGGAAAAACATTTCATTGCCTGTGTTCATTTTTCTGTGCTATGATGTGACTTTCTGTGTGGGTCTATATAAGCAGGGGCTCTGAATACTGTTACATATGCATGCACACACAGGACTCTGCTCGTGCTCATAGAATATCCATGGCATCAAGTCAACACAGATCCGCCATGACCTTTTCAAAGCAGATGTGTACAAACGGCGTTGCCATGGTGCCCACGTGGGGTGGGGTGGGGTGGGGGTTAGCAGAGGGAGCAGACCTGCGCGGGAGCGGTTGGAGTTGAGGACTTTCCAATCACAGATGAGTCTCACTGCAGCTCCACTTTAGTGTTCACTGTATTCTTTCACACGGAGCTCCCACACTTCCATCTAATCTGCCTCACATGACAGCAATGTTTTTCCAAGCAAGCTAATGACTGTATTACTACCTGCTTGTCTACATGGGGTCAAGGGGCGTGTGGCACATGGAGTGGTTACCAAGCAACGGGCCCAAAAAAAATGCACTGTGTGCTTATGGTTCTCCTCCAGACCCATGTCGCTGCTGGACTGTTGCCATGTGGCAGGTTGACAGGTGAGCGTCAGCACTGACATGTTCGTTACGTCAGACAGCGTTCAGGCCAGTCCGGGTTAGGAGTGTTTGCAGGAGTGTTCCACAACAGGTTGAAGATAACATATACATCTTTATCTCTCATTTAAACAGAAAGTCACTGGCACAGTCTTGCAATGCTGTCAATGCTGCTGCTTGAGCAAGGCTCCTATCTGCTGGGGCAAATGAGCGGAACGGTGCTGTTTTAATGTAAATTGGCCGTAAACCCAGAGGAGCTGCTGTGCCGTCAGCAGGGGACAGGAAATATCGGTTTATCTGCAGTGATTAAACACAGTAGCAGTGGAGAGCAGCCAGGGACAGAGAGCAGGCCTTTCTTGGAGCGCTGCTGGGAGTAAATGCTCACAGCCATAAAGGGGGAGAAGACAGATCTCAGGCCACTAGCAGCTCCTGCAGGCAGGTGCTTCAAAAGCACAGCATGTGCCTGTAACAGAGTGCATGTCTGTTACACGAACTTAGGTTAACTAAGCAGAAGGGCAAACATATCATGGTACTATCTAACATCCCCATTGTATTTCACCGGTTCCTTTGGTTTGCCTCCTCCCAAAACACACCCAAACCACTCTATAAATCAAGAAGGACAGGTGGAATGTCTTAACATGCAGGGTGGCCAACTGAATGTTTATTTCTACTCTTGGACAATTTTTTGTCAATTGCACCTCTTTTTTCAATTAAAGAAATGTTTGTGGTTTGGGGGGAAACGGCCTACCTGTGCATCCACGGGCACCAGCAGGACAGACTCCATCAGCCAAAGGACCCGAGGGCTGGGGGCTGATGGGACTTGTAGGTTTGGAGAGAGAGCAGACAAATGGGGCTGACCAACATGGGAGGTGACTATGGGGGAGTTTCTGGGGATTGCTGGCTGATCTTTTATAATTTAACTGTACTGGTTTATAAAGAGCAAAAATACCCGGGAAACATTTTAAATGTGATAGAGTGATATTTGTGTGCCAGTATTTATTGGACCATGGCTTTTGTTGAGTTAATTGATTTATTTTGTTCTGATTAGTTTAGTCCAAGAAGGCGGATTGCCTTTATAAGAGCAACTCTCAGTCAGTAGGGGGGCTGGCAAGGAGTGAGAATCACAGTATAATTGATGTGTTCTCTTTTGGCCTGCTTAGGCAATTATTGTTTGCATTTTGTTTGTTTGTGTTATTCTTTGTTTTTTTTTTCTTTTTCGTTATTGTTAAATTAGTATTATTTGTTGTTACTTTCACCAGTCACGGCTTGGGTGAAATAAACCACCTTCACCTCATCAGACCTTTTTGACCTCATCAGTTTTTTTTATTATCGCCTCTCAGTCATCCCACGACAGTGCCTGAATGCAGTTAAGACAGGGGAATTTAATCTGACCATTTAAACTCTCAGTGTTACACAATCGCAGTCATTTGCAATCGAGTTCCCGTTGTCAGCGGTCCAGTGCTGGACCAGTATGGCTGCTCAGAAGAGGCAGGACAGCTGGGAAATGTATGAGCGACTTTCCCCAAGGCTTCGCCAAGGAGATGGGCCATCCTCCTCTGTAATCATTTTAGCGAAAGCATTTCCTTGCCGGATAACTTTGTTACCAGGAGACTAATTCATTTGCTAGACTAAATACACCCCCAAGAGTGGCACCAGACTTAGAGGCTCGGAGGAGTTCTCTGTGCACTCCAGGAAGAACAGACACAGTGTATAAACACACCACTAAAAATCCCGTTATCACAAATCAACCTCTGGTAGTCAGAAGGGGACCTGAGCTTTCAGAATTAATGCTTGAGCAGCACAAACTAAGATCAGCCTGAGTTCTTCATGGATGGAGTGATGGAATTGCCTCTACATTTAGTCATACCTGCTGGTGAAGGAGGCCTTGTTGCTTGAGAGAAGGTTATCTTTGCACCTAACCAACTGCTGTGCTCTGCAAGCACAACAAAAACAAGCCTGGAAGTGAGATATACTTAAACCATGGTGTTATCCACAGCACAAAAACAGATGGCCCTCTACAGTGGATTTCTGCAGTGCCACGTTAGCTGGTTTACATGGAGGTGTCAAGTGACTACATCACTGGATCACATCTTCCCTCGTTGTTCCCAGTTCCCACGGCAACTGGATAATACTTGTGGAGCAGTACTTTGATAAGAGCATAAGGAATTGAGCTCATCCCCTAGGGATTTCCAGGAGGGCTGTTGACTTTTACATTCCTGCATCTTGATTTAATGAGGGCCTTCAATTGAGACCCCAACACCACCATCTTTTTTTTTTGTTTTTTGCACTTGTGAGCTTGTTTTTCTCTCTTCATTAGATATATTAATTTATTTTGTGTCTTTTTACTACTTAACTTCAATTCTTCTGTTCTCCTGAGTAAATGAAATGATTCCATTGTAAACATTTAAACTTCTAAAAAGGGAAATCCTTCAAGCTCGATCCCAGGAACATACCCACTACCCACCTCCTAAGGACCCAGTCACTACTATTTTTTCCTCAACTCACAGTGCAGTTGTACATTAAAGTGGTGCAGAATGACTTTGGTTATCTGTGGGTTTTGTCCATGAAAAGCCATTATGTGC